ACCCTGTTTTTATGAAACAACAGAGTGAAAGCAGACTAAATATTAGCAACCACGTATGCATTATAATAGGTAGAGTGTATGAGCATCAGATACTGTCCTTGTTGACTGCTGATTAGCATCGTTTCTCTGATGTGTCAGCTAACTTTTGTGCTAACTAAATGTTCAAACGGTGTAGTGATCTTTTCTTTATTTCCCCTGCCAAAAAAGGGTGGATAGTTAATGGTAAAGATATGTAATATACTAATTAAAAAACAAACAAGTTGTTATTTTAAACATCAGTATTGGTCCAGAGTTTTGCAATCACTGCATCCCTAATAGATCTCTCACTAGTGCACGCCTATCCTCTACAATTGTAAAAAACAACACATTTACTGTTGTATGCTGTCTTTTGTTAATATTTAAAAGAAAAACAACACCTGGAAATCAATGCTAACATTTCCTATGTGTTACTATTCAGATTGCTGTAAATGTACTGTACGTCTCTAAATTGGCACCAGTAGAAAACTTAAGTATTTATGATTTGAGTTTAGTTTTTTATTATGAAAGTTAAATACCGTAAGCTTTGCCGTGCCCATGAATGTCCTGTTCATTGTTTACAGGCACGTACAGAGTATCTGAGAAGGAAAGCCCGAGCTGCTCTTCAGCCAACAGGAGGAAGCAGAGATGATGGTGATGAGGAACAGGGTGGAGGAAGTGGAGCTCTGGAGCATCTCAATCTTTTCCCCCTGGAGGAGTCCTCGGAGAAGAAGGGGAATGAGGAGTATCTCAGGGAAAAGAAAGAAGAAAAGGTGTCCGTGCTGCTGCTTCTGTCAGTCTTCTCTTTCACGCTTTTCTTTTGCTCTGACGTAGCAGCTGAATGATAGCAAAGCTTTTGCAAGTTTGGTACCACATCTGGGTTCAGTGTCCTGCATGGTCTGTGGTTGCAGGTCCAGTGCTGATTCTGAATACCATTTACATTTTCATTTTTTCCATTAAAAACCTTTAGTAGTTAGGAGTGGATCTGCAAAATCTTGCTTTTCAGCTCAGTCACAAAAATGCTAAATGCTTTGTATGTTTTTGAAATGTTGCCAGAGAAAAGATGATTCTTATCTAATCTCATCATTAGTGGGTGTAGTTTTCTCAGATGTCATTTGAATGGTTTGTTATCACCACACTTTAAAAAGCAATGCAATCAGTTTAAATTTTTGTCTTGTTGTCATCATACCTGCTATTCTATTCTGCAGCCCAGTGCCAGTATGTATACATGCAGCGTAAATAGATGCAGCATGAGACGGGTGGGAAATTAATTCAGACAGACAATATAAATACAAGTTAAAGCCCGTGGATGTGATCAAGGCTTTCCAATCACAGGTCAGAAAATGCCAAAATGCTGCTGATGGCAAAGCAGAGGCACTTTAGTACCATTTACATTTATTTAATGATTTGCTGAAGTATATTAGTTTATTGTGTGTCCTGTTTTAATAGCAGAGAATATCCATAACAGTTGTTGTGTTTTAGTTAATTAAAATTTTTTTGCTTCAGTAAATTCAGAACTCAACAGGAAGTTGAATTTTTGAAGTGGTGTGGTGGGAAACACCTTGGTGCATAATGAGATACGCTACACTCAGGCTACGTCCACACTAATGCGTTGTCGTTTGAAAACGCATTGTTTTCTCTCTGTTTCGGCCTCCTGTCCACACTGAGACAGCGTTTTTGCTGATGGAAAACGCTCTCAAAAACGTTTCTGGTTTCCTTGGTAACCTTTCATGTATATACATATGTGTATATGCACTACTTCCAAACACTTTGTATAAGCACTTTCTTTCTTTCAAGAACACCTACTAATTGTATGTCACGTTGCTGTATTGAGTGTTTGGATTTCAAAAGGGATATTGTCAGCCACGATTTATCACCTAATGCTGATTTCCTGTTGCCACTAGCTGTCGCGCTGACTTTGTGTAGATGTCTCCAGACTCGCTTCCAGGACGTCAAGCTCAGGACAGAGTGGACAGTGTACATTTGAGTTATAAGAGCTTTTTGTGGCAACTAATCAAAATTTGCTGAGCTGACATGGACGCACCAGACAACACAAACTCAAAAACTTCTTAGTTTGGCATTGCCAAGGTCTTTAGATTAAAGTTCTCTAAGAGGAGTTTGATAAAGTGAACTGCCTGAAAAAAAGCAATTTACATTTAAAACACTGGACTTCCTGTTGGGTTTAGAGCATGTCTCCAAGAGGCTTTTTTTCTAAATATTGCGGGTTTAAGTCAGGCTACAGAATTTCATACATGTGAAACTTGTTATTGTTTTTTTTTTTTTATATGTAGCACCAGAAACTATTTTTCCCACACCCACAGGCCAAACCTACAAAATACAAAAACTTTTACCAGTTTCGTACCTTTCAAACTTTCCTACCCCATCAACAACTTCCTGTTTTAACAATATGAAGCTAAGATAGAGACCAATCAAAAAGCAGTTCATCTGCTCTTCTAGACCTTTTCGACTTTAGCTTGGAATACGGTCGAGAGTATCAGGTCGCATTTTTTCCCACTGTTTTCCTTTATCACACAACAAGAAATAGTTTGCTTTTGACATCTTCCCACTGCTGGTTTTATGTGAGGGAGCTGCTCAAATAGCACACAGCATGCGGCACACATGATGCCTCAGACAGTTAGCTCTGCTATTTGCACTTAGGAACAAGTACTATGGAGCTCGTGGAAGGTTAAAGACAGGTTAATGTCCCGTCTGGCTACTCAGATATTTACATTCTCCTATCTGTTGGGTATTGTATAAACAAAACAAACACATGTATAAACAAAAAGTGTGCTACAGTAATGAAAAAAATAACACAAAATATTTGTTTTCTGTTGTTGTTTTTGTGGGGGGGGGGGTTCTAGGAGAAGCAGGAAAGAGCCATTGGCTTACTGGTGTCATTGGGACCCCAGCCGGGGTCTGAGGTCACGCCGTGGTATCTGAAAAGCAGCAAAGACAAAGAGGAGAGCAAAGAAAAAGAAAAGAGAAAAGGGATAAGTGAAGAGGAGAGAGAGAAGAAGGATCGTAGACTGAAGGATAGTTTGGATCCTTTGAAAGATATGAAGAAAGCTCTCGGAGAGAAAGACAGAAAGGAGCACAAGAGCAAGAAAAAGGAAAAAAGAGACAAAGGGGAAAAGAGGAGCAGCGGAGAGAGGTAAGAATACCAGTATTGATTGTCTGGAAGTTTTATCCCCCTTAGTGTTTTACTGAGGCTCAAGTCAAATTAAAGCGATCTTGTGGTGAATATCAAAGCAGGTCGGTAACAAAATGTCTGTCTGGTCTCTTCCAGCTCGATAGAAAGGTTACGTGCTGATCGTTTACAGAGGGAGGCTGAGGAAAGGAGGAGAGCCCAGGCACTTCTGGAGCAGAGGAGCGGCAAAGGAAAGGAGCCTGGGAGGGAAGTGAGCGAGAGGGAGAGGCCTTACAACAACGCATACTTCCCAGAACTAGCCCGAAAGCGACAAAGGCGGGACCGGGAGAGCTGGAGAGACGAGATTTTAAAATCCTGAGCTCTCTTTGCTGTTTACAGAGCTCACTACGATACAAACAGAAAGTCTGAGCCTTCAGCGTTGTGATCGTTTATTTTTATTTATTATTTGTTACTCGCATGAGGGGCAGAGGTCAAATTTATCTGCAGAGTTTTACCCATGAACACATCAGCAGGGCAGATGGCCCATCACAGGGGGCTTGATGCTCAGCACGCCAGCAAAGACAGCACTGTGTGAACAGCTGTTAGCAGGACATATACAGTAACAATCTAAAGAGTCTGTTAATCTAAAAACATTTACATTAAATCATCTTCGGCGATGGTTTGAGTTACTAGTTTTAGGCCATTTCCATACATGCATGCATCCACCTCCTGCAGGTCTTCTGAGGGAGAGACTGAGACATTCCCAAACCAGAGAAAGAGGGATATAATGATTTAATTTCTCCAGCATACTCTGGGTCAAACCCAAGGTTTGCTCTTGGTAGGACATGTCCAAAACATTTAACCTAGGAGGCATCATATTCAGATGACCGATCCACCTCAGCAGGCTCCTTTAGATGTGGAGGAGTAGCGGCTGTGCTCAGAGTACTTCCAGAATGACAGAGCTCCTCACCCTGACTCTAAAGAAGCGCTTCAGAGGAAGATCATCTCCACGGCTCGTATCTTCGACAACTCTTCTCTTCACCGATCCAAATCCCTTATAATGTATGATTATCAAATATAAACAAAAATCATAATTAATATTTTCAGTATTCTGTGACACTGCTGGGTTAAAGAAACACTGTAAATGTCAATGGCAACAATAAAAGTATTATTATTTCCAGGAAAAAGCTCTCTCTCTACTCATCTTTGAGGCGAACTGACCGTTTCTCTATTTTGTGTATGTGTTTAATGTATATCATGCATCACTCACAGAAAAAGAAAAAGCACAGGTAGAACTGTTGAAATTACTGACGACTGCTTCAGTTTCGGGGTCATGCCGCTGTGCTGACTCACACTCACAGTTTACAGGATGCTCGAATAGAGCAGAGCCATCGCTAACGTTCATAGTAACACTCGTGCTTTTCCTAATAGGAGAACACGGCTGTGAAAAAAATGACCTTTTGTGTGTGTGACGGTGACCAGAACAAAGGATTTGAGATTTTACAGGCATATGCTGTGGAAATGTACCCACCCTGCAATGCAAAACTACTTTTATAGGTGATATAACTAGTTTGTGGTGGCATATGTGCTGGCTCTTTTTGATAAGTTTATTAGGCTTAGATTGGCTGTAATAACCTCTAAAAGGTGAATTTATGGCTTTGTTTCTGAGGTTATTTTATAGGATGCCAGAGCACAAATCACATCACACCCAAAGGTCATGATATGAATCCTTAAGTGATATTATGTGGATTTTAAAAATCCAATCCGAGATCGATATAAGCCGCCTCGTTTGCTCCCCTGTGGGCGCATTATCACGGGTGTGTTTTGATACTATGAGGCTGTGGTGAATGATCAAGCCGGACCATGACAATGCGCGCCGTGCGAGGCTGACGTAGGCTGGCGGAGGAGAAAAACACAGACACCCTCCAACACCGTGAGATGGAGGGAGGAGCAGGTAGAGGGGTAGGAAATATATAAATATAACGTCAGAAATAGAGGATGGTTGTTTTCAGCGGTGCTTGTGACCGAGGCAGAGCAGAAATGGATGCGCAGCGAGAGGCGGCCTGAGGATGCACAATAGAGCATCTCACACACTGTGTTTAATTGCGGATTAGAGCGGAGGGGAAGAGGAGGGGGAGGGGGAGAGCACAACAAGGAAGGCAAGGAGACGCTCTTTATTATTAGGAGAAAGCGGAGAGGAGGAGGGGGAGACGGAGACAGCGTGAGCCCGGAGACGGCACAGACCGTGGCGGGGGGACGGGAGAGAGGACACCGACGCTGACAGTCGGCAGCGGCGCTCGGATGCTGTTGTTGTTGTTGCTGCGGACGCGGCGACGATGCGGCCACACTGCTGGGTGATGGTAGCGTTGGCGGGGATCATGTCGTACTTCAGCCCGGAGAGAGCCCTCGGAGCACCGCAGAGGGAAGGTGAGCGGAGAAGGAGGAGGTTTGAAAAGCTGTCAGGGATGCTGGAGAAAGGAGAAGAGGATTTGGGGGG